TTCACCTAATAATTTTTTTTTTCTTCACAAACGAATATGGAATAAAGCCGCCTTGGAAATTTGAGGTATGAATAATTGACTCTACTATATTTAATGCAATACCCCAGAAATGCATGTACACAACACCCAAAATCAATTGTTTTTATTGGTTACCTTAAACCATGCATAGCCAACACAACACGTGGCACATTTGCATTCTGCGAGCAGAGCATACACGTATTCAAGTTTCAACTTTATCTCGATTTCTGTGTATCCTTCAGTAATCTCGCCACATCCAACAGTTGTGGCCCAGACATTTTCTCCGGACGTTACTCTCCGACAGCTGTAGCATCAGCAGAGTCCAGTTCAGCTATCGCCCTCTCTCCCAAGAGCATCGCTCAAGCATCTCTCATCATCGCAAATTGCTGCTCTAATAAACGTGTTCTTCGAATTGTAATGTAATCGGACGTTCCGCATTGACTGGGACTGTTCCTTTTTTGGAGTGCCTCTCCCGTATTTTTTTGATAGGAAAACGGGACGCCAAAATGTCCCATTTTTGTGACTGACTAATAAGCATAACGTACCGACATCAGTTTTGTATGTATCATAATGTATTCCGTTGGGTTTGCATTAGTTCATAAAAAAGTAAGCGCGCGTAAATCATACGCTCACGTACCGCAAGTGTGGTTTACAGAGCATTGAAATCAAAAAGGGAGAGATGGGTCTAGAAGGGAAAATGAGCTGTCGCATAATTCGAGCTGGTCTATGCTTCATCGATATCGGTACCGAGAATTTCAATAATCCGAACATTCTGCATCTGTGAGTTTCTGGCTCACTTAGTAAGCAATCTTATTTGAGGGATACGGACCAACTTTATAATGTTGATATCAGCACGTGTCCCGTTTTTTAGTCAAGAAAAAGTAGAGTTGCCACATATTCACTCTTTGAGTGAAATGTTCACTATTTGAGTGAATTGTTCACCATTCCTATTTCTGGTTCAATAATAAAAATTGAAAATAGTGAACATGTAAAAATAGATTATCGAAGATGGAAAAAAAGTTACTGTATGGGTGAACAAAAGTTAGAATGCCTTTTAGTGTTTATTATGGCAAGTTTTTAAACTCGATGAGAGTTGACTTCTACTTCCAATCCTGGCTATTGCGCATACCCATGCAGATGTCTTAGCTTGGTAACAATTCGTAATGCGTATGTCTTTGTTCAAGTGCACAGTACTGCGAAAGTAAGCAAATGAATAAAAGATTTATTCCATTTTACGCAAGATCAACTTCACTCTTGGCTGTGGCTTTAAGTAATAAAGAAATGTATCATTAATACTCGAAGATCCCCTCCCACTCCGGTTCACTATTTTCTCAAAGAAGTTCTGGCAACCCCAAAAAAGTGACAGTGCCCCGTTTTGGGGTTTTGAAAATCTTCTCCCTTCATCGAACTGACGAAAATAGTTGCTTGATTGAAATATCCTTTTTCGTTTCCATCGCAAAGCAGAACCCAACTCTCCTATCTCTAATTGCCAACTCTAACAACGCACGGAAGTATGTACGAAAATGCACCTTTAATTTTTAAATGGAAAAAAATATCATCGCGCGTAAAAGGTTTGCCTTAAACAAAATAACGCGAGAATTCCTCAGAATTTCAATGTTGAGTCATCAAAACACTTTTTGTAAACGCACTGAATAGAAAGTACACCTGTATCCGACACTACGTCGAGTCGTGGAAACTTGATCTCTAAAACCACTTGGGCTTATACTCTCTACCAGAAGCGGCTTCCTCTTGAAAATTGATACATCTATCAATAAAATACTACTTCATTGTCTTGCCGTTTGATGAATACTTTTTAACGGAAACTACATCATCACGTAGACAAGAACCAAACAATTGTAGTGTTGAATTTTAAATTTCTAAGGGAATTGCATCACTTAGAGGGGAACTGCATTCTTACAGCAGGAAGTGACACGTGCAGTCTCTACAATGAAAATTGTAAGATTCCAGTGTTATTGAATTGACATTTTTTGGTTTGGCATTTTCCCCATATGGCCAAAAATGCACATGGTATGTATAAAATTAAACTATGCAAATTGGAAAAGGACGACGAAACCTGCGATTACTGGACAAAAATTTACCAATGGCAACATTCACATTAAATAGTTATTTGTTTAAAATTACTCCCATCATTTTTAAGTACCCTCAGTTATATTTGGTCTCAAAGTTACCTTTAGTTTTACAATTGCCTAACAATCTGATCCTGAATAAATAACAGATGAGCAGACTCAACTGCATGTGTTGTTGCGAAATCAAAGCACAGAATGTGTTTCATATTCGGGGAGTACATTATTTGAAAGGCTTGGAAAGAAAAAAAAAATAGATTGATTTCTCAATATTCCACCCAACAGAAGACTACAGAAAACACATACACACGTGTTTGAAAAAAATAGTCCGTGAGTAAAATATGCAAAATTCAGTCGAGCCACGTGACAGCCACCGCTGGCAATAGCCTCTGTTTGGAGCAGAAATGCTTCTTATCTGTTGAATCTCATGTTGAACGTTCGTAATATTTACAAGTACTCTCGGGTCAAACTGCCCACATCTCAGAAAGGGTAACGTTCTTGAAAATAAAGGTTTTTATGAAATACTTTTTTGCTGATTAAATAAATTATTTCAACACAGTATTTCATTAAAACATTAAAAAACGAATAAAATATAGGTATTTTTTCTGTAAATCAAATAATACGAACACATAGCAATTACTAACTTTTACAGTAATATTTCATTTATTTCTACTTTTATGGGAAACCACACGTCTCTTGAGTTTTATCATAAGAAGTCTTAATGGTTAAGGATTTGGGGGACCTTAAAAATCACAAGAAGGAAAAAAGAATGTCAAGTAAACTAAACATTTACGTGAATAAATTTAAACCTAAACGACTTAACTTCAACGTAATCTCAAATTGCTTGAAGAACGTAACTTGCTAAAGACTTTACAATTTATTCCTGTCCTTTACAGGGAAATTTCTTGTAAGAAACTTTTACATTCACGCCAAAAGAATTTTTAACAAAACAATGTAATTTCTTCTTTTCTTCCTGGAGTCTTCATTTGTATGTTTAACAGGTCTCATTTCTCGTCTGTCGAGCTGCTTTGTTAGGACCACGCTTGTAAAAGAAAAAGGCTAGGCAATTTAATCCGGCTGAAAGTGGTTTCATTTTGCAAGTGCAAAAAATAGTCAACATAATCTTCTAGTTACAATAAAAATGACATACATAAATGATATTAAAGCGCTCAAATCGCCGTGAAATCAAAATTTCATGCAAGTATAGACGTGTTCATAGGGTGGGGGCGGCGGGGGCAGTGTCGTGTCCTCCATGTAAATTTTTAAATGCTCCAAAAATGGTAACCTCACGTAAAATCTTTCATTTTCCTAACAAATTAATTTCCTGAAAAAATGACGTTTTAAGTGTAACGCAACATTATACAATTAACAGAGATGACGACAAACGGATCTTCACATTAGTCTGTCTGGATAGTACTAGTACCATTAACTTGTTGACCCTCAATTTTTCAATAGTTAATACCTAGTTTTACGTTGATTTATGAGAGTTTTAATTTTTCGCAAAAAATAAGTATAGATATGTCAAAAATTGTAAAAAAATTGCACACTTTGACTGTACTTTACATTTTCATTTTTTTTGAAACAATTATAAGTAATTCATGTCAACGAGTTATTTGTAGTTCCCACATAAGAATTGACTTGTTCCATCGAGAGCGTTTTGAGAACATGTCATTTTTTTCATCTTACGAATCATTGTAAATGTATTTCACAAAAAAGTAGAATGAAGTGTGCGAAACATTTTTGAACTGTTCAGAATCTATGGAAAAATATTTTTTGATATTGTGAAGTGTACCTTCAGTGTAAAAGTGGTTATTGTGGGCAAAAACATTTTAATCCACCCATGCAATGAGGACAATTTAAACTGACCCATCCATAGAAACGCCCTAAAATACATCAAAAAATCTAATATCGCTCAACTGAAAATGTAAAACAATGTACGAAAATGTACATTCAGCCATAAACATATTGCAAAAATTAAAGTAGCATACAAGTAAAATGTAATATATAAATAAAAAAGTTTAATGAATAGAGAGCTGACTAGTTGCTCCTCTTGTTTTAGGCTGCCTCCACCTTTGCATACACATCCTTTGCAAGTCTGTTTTCTATCTGATTAGTGAATTAAAATTCACTTTTATTGAACTAGGAGTTTGCTCCAGGAAGTGAATCCTCAGGGCACGCATCCTTTTTATTGTGTACCTCATTCGTCTATTAAGTTCTCAGAATAACAAAAAACAGAATTTTCAATGTACTCGTTTCCGAAACTTTGTATTTGGATAATGGACAAGTCATATGCAGTACGCATACGCATAAGCAGTATGAAGACGCGACGAAATATGCAAACTTGTGGAACTGTAACTTACGGTCACTTACGAACAGTTTCTTAAATGAGACAACACGATACTAACTTGTATACATAATCATTTCCAAAATATCCTGAAGAACAAGAAATAATTTTCATTAAACAGACCACTAATACACAAACGATAAGTCAGGAATGAAAATGTAAAACCATTTACGTATGTATACATTATAGTTTTATACATTAAAATAGAGAAAGTAAGAAATTTATTGATTTTTTAGGGGTCCCCAGATCACATATACATTACAAGTCTACTTTGTCAATGAATGATCGCTTAACGATTCGTTCCGATAGCACATATTGCCTGTAAATAATCCGGAAACCATGAAAAAGCACTCAGAAAATTATCCGACACAGTTACATTACAGATTAACAAGACCGTAACCCTTGCCCTTAACTGACTGTATTTACGCCTCTACCTACGACACGCGTACACACGATTTATCAAGAGAATTCTCATTGAATGTTTTTATCAGTTGTGTCGGCACATCATATGTAACACATTCATCCAACACACACGGAAACCGCACTCAACTCACTCGAAGCTGACTTCCGGGCGCGCTTTCCGATCCGTGTGCTGGAGTTGGCTCCGCCGCCGGCGTCTTCCTCGTCGTTCTAGCCCGCCGCGCTGCCCGCTGCTCAGCTGTCAGCCGCACTCGCACTGCCCACCGCCGCTGACTAGCGCGCACTGCCACGGCCGCGCCGCCGCCGGCCCCGCGCCGCGCAGGAGAAACGGGGTGGGTGGAGGGGGTACCAGAGAGGGGTTCGCCGAACGAGATTTCTTCCAGGCCGCCCACATGGCGAATTCCGCTGGATCGCTGTGCACTTCTCTTTGTGTGTATCGTATGGCTAATGTCCGAATCTGGCTAATTCGCGAATAAGACGGTTGATTTTTTCGTTTACCAAATTTGTGGATTTAGACACTATCTTGATACGTTGCTAGATAGAATTCGTAGCTAGATAGAATTCATCCGTTGTCTGGAGAAGAATTCTAGCGAGTGGATGCTCCGATCGGTACCTTGGTTTCTCCGGTCAACACCACGCAAATGCCGGGGCAGTAACCTAGCGAACGGGCCACGTACTGCCTTTCCTGCCTCGTGATCTAGTCACAGACCTCCTAGAAATAGACAAGGTGTTTAATTTCAAATTCCACACCGACAGTTGTAAAATTCCTACATGATCAATACTATCTAACGTAACATAATCTAAACTCACTGTATAAGTATAAATACAACTATAAAAAATTAACAAATATAAATTAATTTTAAATTCTGCACAAATAAAAAATGCTTTATAAGGAAACATGAAGTCGTCTTTACATTGAACCTGTAACCCTACTTATAGGTAATCCTGGTTGCACATCGGCCTCGTATAAGCGTTTAATGCAATTCAAAGTAATAAATAAGAATACAGTTTTGGCACAATACATGGGAACAATGTAAGTGATAGCTTACCGCTGGCATATTTTCTAATATTTAGAATGGCTGAAACACAATGTGTGGAATGGTATTTCTTCGAAATGTAAAAGGATTTAGAGAGGGATGTGGAAGGGGATACGAATAACGGTCTAACAAGAAGTGATGACTACTGTAAGAAGATGAAGATTCCATTCAAAGTAAGATAAGCAAATACACATCCCGTTATGACTTGCTGCGTCCCGTAAAATTGCAAGTGTGATAAAAAATATTGAAGTGGATGATGAATAATATGATGGAGTTAAATGACAGAAGAGGAACGGCGAAGCAAGAAGTGCCTATTTAAAACCGGATAACTCTGAGATCACTTAGCCAGGAGCCATCTCACATGGCGATTGCTGGAGTTAAATCTTGGCTTCGCTTATGCAGATATTTCACATTAGCTTCAAGGACTTACAGTCAAGTAGTCCTTAGTAGTAGGACTTATAGTCAAGTCACATAGGAGAAAAAAATGAATTTTATAACCGATGAAAATCTGTTTTGTAATATACTGAAAAGAAGACATACAGCAAGTGGCTCAATGTTGATTCATGATATGCTAATAAAATTATTAACCAAATGTGTTAGAGAACATAATTGCGAGCAACTAAGCTTCGTAAAACGGGATGTCCTACGTTCGAGCCTCGACACTGGTGGATTTTCCACACCGGCTTAGTAGCTGTATCGAAACTGATCGTTGCCTGACTAATAATATTTACACTGGTTTCTCTGATCGATCACTTCGGTGATTCCCTATGAACAATTCCAGACGGATTTTGGGCCTTAAATAACGGGCCACGGACCTAGCACAATCTTTCCTACCCCACCCTACCCTTACTACTGTAGCGTCACGGCTTGGCAGCAGCCGAGTGCAAGGTAGAGGGCTGGGGGATCTAAAGATAGAACAAGAAGGACCTTCCGACAGGAAATGGTCCGCGGCCAGACAGCGCCAGGGAAAGGCTTTCCACCGCGTGGGTGGGGAGTTGTGACGTAGGAGGCCAGGTGACTGGACTATAAAGACGCCGTGGCGAGACGGCGCGAGTGGAACGTTTCGGTTTCCTTCCTCGTGGCTAGACACAAAAACTTTGTCCGCCAGGCTGGTGCGAGGGCCGAGGGCACGGTGGTTGTTCGACGAGTTCGGACAGGGTGATGTGTTCTTCAAAAACATTCGGCAGATCGTCAATCTGCCGGGGCACACCAGGTGGCCAACCTACGACGCGCCTTGCTGGCTGGTGCGTAGGCGTCGCGCAAGGCGCATGTAGGGAGAGGAGGGCTGCAAGTGGTAGCTCTGGCAAACCGCCCTTAGAGTGAGGGTTGTAAATATGTAACAGTATGTAAATAAAACATGTATATACTCACTCGTGTCTGTTTTTCCTTGTGGTGTAGACTCCTACACACGACGTTACACTGCCATCTTAAAATTCCACTTTCAGACGGCGATCACGCCCTCGCGCCCCTGAATCTTAAACAATGCTGCAATAAGCTGGTAACCGCTCCAAATAAACCAAAAATATATATCGGATTAAGCATTGACTCCTACTTATCGACATCATAACAACTTATACTATATTGAAACAACTTATCGACATCAAAATTAAACAAGCAAACTTAACAATTCAAAGCTTCATATAAACAGAAATAGCCATCTGCCATACACACACTCTGATATTCTTCAAAATGTAGTAAAACCTGTTGCTGTACACTGTCCAACATGGTTAAATTTTCAAAACAGCTTAATAAATGTAAACATCTAAATCAATATCTAAGAAAATAACAAATGCACCTGTATGTTTCAAACAACTACATAAAGATTTTAATTATACAGCAATTGGCTTTACTCAGGAAAATTCTCTAATTTTTCGCGGCAAACAGAGAGTTGGACACGTAATTATTCCGCTTCAGTTTCGAACCAGCGGCCTTTTCCTCCTAAACGCTGAGCACGAAGCCGACATTTAACACGTCGGCACCCGGGTGATACTTCTATAATAAACATAAACACGAAAGTCAACAATTGATTTGATCGTTCATATGCTTTACAAATCAAATTAGAGATGTGAAAAATTGTTTAAAAATGTAAAATCACATACAGCACCTTCCCGTTTATTTATTTTGGTTAACAGTATATGTGATTAGAATTGCTTCAAATGGTTTTTCAATAACGTTTCTGAATTATCAATTATTTCCTGCGGCACACAGAATGTCACAAATAATAACTTCCGGGCAATAATCAAACCAGCGAGCTGGTCCTACGAAACAGACGCCTTACTCGCCAATAGCGACGCTCGGCTACCCAGCTATGACGTGCCACTAATATTTCTATAATAGTAATAAGTGTATGGTGCTTTCAGTTCTAGCATTACGGAGCAGATCAATTAAGAAAATGTGAATTATGGGACTAGCCACGCACATTTGTTACGTCCTTTATTACATATGCGGAGAAAATTTAAGGAAAAAAAGTAACAATTTAAAAAAATTAAATTTCGTAAATTTTAAGCGCATATATCGCAAAACCACTAACTTTTACAAAACATTTATATAACCTTTTCTAAAACAATAATTTGTTCTACATCTCTTGGGTCTGTTTCCAAAACTCTCTATCTTCAATTTTGTGTAGGTTTTTTTTTGTTTTTTTTTTTGTTTTTTGCATTGGCCGGTTAAAATCGGCGGATATTTTACCGGAATATGTCTGCACCATTCTCTCAATACTTTTCGCCACTATTAAAAAACCAAATTTAATAAAAAAAATTTGAGTCCATTTTGTTTTGAAACATTTTTAAATGTTCGAGGTGCTACATGTAAAAGTACCTCCCAAAATTAAATAATTGGATTTCAAATTCACGGGTCCACGACAACAACCAGATCGATTGGGATACAAGTTGGGAGAATAATCTTCTGCTGAACGGTTAGCCCTAGGTTGACCACACATGGACAGACAGATTGTTTTTGCCGGCAATCGATTTTTGCGGGTTTATGAACCAACAAAACATAGCTTCAGCGCTACATTTCGGAGTTAGAGAATTTTTCCCCAAATTTAGCAACAGGATTTATCCACTTTCTTATTACGCAACCCGGTAATAAGGTTTTTCTGGCAAAGTTCGCGTTTTCTGCGGCAAATTACATAAACTTTCACTTGTCATGAAAGAATTCGTAATGCTGAAAAAGTAATATTGTGCAATATTTTGCAATTTCTCCTGTATGCCGCCGATAGCAGCTTCAACACTCGGCATCTCTCAACTGCGTTGAATTTCCAAAAAAATACATTTTTCCAAATTAAAACTTTTATATTCCCACACTGTATTTTCTCTATATATTTTGCAAGACCCGACACCTGGGTATTTTTCAAAACACATTCACGAGCGGCAGTCAAAAGACATCTCACACGTCGATCTACATGTCGCCTACAACTTATTCTATGCTCCTTTTCACTTTGACGCGTCAACAAGAAACGCCTTTTGCCAACGCCTTCGCCTGCTTAACTATTTATAGAATATTTATCATTTTATCGCTTCATTTATTAGTTAACGTGATATCATTAAGTATGAAACAAGGTAAACAACATTAATTATTTAGGATTTAACATCTCATACTGGCCGACAAAAAAGATTATTAAACAATAAAATCCAAAAATTCCAGAAATGTCTGTATATATCGCCAGAGCAACTAAGAACAAAAGACAACAACGACACCCAACTAAAATTTTACAAAACTATGCAGTCCATGCTAACTTATGGGATGCGAAAAACTGGACAGTCAATAGGTCAGACAGAAAAAGATCGAAGCGCAGAAATGAGATTCCTGAGACCATTAGCAGGATATACACTACTAGATCATAGAGAAATGAAGACATCAGAAGTGAACTACAGATCTCCAGCATACTAGAGAGATGACTCAACGAGGAAGAAATTGGTTCGAACACCTAACGCAGAATGCACAAGCAACGGCTTCCCAAGGACTATCCTCGAATAACAAACCAAAGGGCTGAAAACGATCCAGAGGCAGACTCACACAAGATGGAAAAGACTCTTAAGAGCGGAAGGCCATAGGCCAAACCTTGTAGGCTGATGATGATGATGATGATGATGACGTCATATCACTTATATCTACAATTAATTAAAATGTTTTGGTGTTGTTTTGTCAGCATTCGCCAGTTTTCATTCCTTCTAATTAATTATGTCACTAAGGATTCCTTTCTTGAGATTTACTCTCCCGCGATGAATCTGCTTTGGGCAAGAATTCAAATTTTATTGTACCTAATTGCAGTCTCATCTTCATCTGGTTTACCAATATTTTGTGATGAAGTCTTGTTGGCGAGAAAATTAAGCAGACTGGCTGGCAAGATTAACGGCTCTGAAATCATTATCACC